TGAGCAATGTCACACGATGTCAGAGTACGCTGACACGCAATCAACCGAGTTACATAGACTGACAACCCGATCCATTTTGCCGCCTTGTACGTCCAGCACAGGCTGCTAGGTGCCTTTTCTAATGTCCACGGAACATGGTTACAACAACTAGTGTTGGGAATCAACTTCTACAATTGTGATTGATAATCAAACTTTTCAATCAATCGTGAATAATTTATCAACAGTGAATGTTGACATGCTCTGGGCAGATGTGTTTCTATGTCAGGTTAAGATTAGCTCTCTGTATAAGCCGACCCGTGAAGTTCTGGGTTAGAATAGGTCTTCAGTAACCCATGCTTGTTCTATAAGGTGACTATGCTTGTCGGAAGAGGTGACAAACTGGATCTGGGGTTATATCCCATTAGTTAGACATCCCAATTGTTAGACATTTTTATTTAGGCAAAGAGGGAATATACCTACAGGTGTAATGGATCAGTCCTAATTAGATTAAAGTACTGCGTAGGGATAGGGGACTCACAGTTTAGGGAGTATATATGTTACAATTTCGTTTAATTTACCTACATTACCTTACTCTCAGCACAGGTTCCGCCTGAACATGAAACCAGAGTGAACTTTGTCAGCAATCTTTGTAAAAGAGCGAGAGAAGAAACCACACAGATGCGGGCATTGTACGAGGAGCAAGTCACTCAAGTAGATGAAGCCAACATCCCAGCGATGCCATGATTTCAGAGCGTGAAAAATGCAATTTACAGGTAAATATCATCCCGTATTTTTGACTTGGTAAGAATTAACTTTTTTTCAGGCATCGTCGCAAGACCATTCCAGCGTTACCCAGGTCGCGATCAGCAGTAGATACTGAAGACAAATGGTCAGAGACAACAGATGGACGTCCCTTTCCATGTTCAGCAACGGCGACGATGACAAGATCCTGGCGTTCTCCACTGCAGAACAGATACAAGCCCTCCAGGAAGCTGACACCCTTTACATGGATGGTACCTTCACAGCATGTCTAGGTTTATGGGATCAAGTACACATCATTCATGCCAGAGTCATCCAGAAAGTCGAGTTCAGTGAAAGGACTAAGGTGATGCAATTGAACTTTGGTGGGGAACCACGCTGCCGCAAGAGAATCTACAGAGAGACAGAGAACCACCTGGTATGCCTCAAAGATCAGCTGCAGCAGGGTGACAAGTTTGCTATTGAGTATTTAGATGCTTGTGGACACTTGCTTCGTCTGGGATATATAAACTGTAAAAGTTATTAAATGTAAAGTGTACATTACCAAAAACTGTCACAAAGTGTTGTTACAAACTGTATAAAATTTATCAAATGTAAAGTGTCATTAAATGTCAAGTATAATATTAAAGTATCTATTTAAAGCTGCTTTGCTTTGTTTGTCAGATCTTATCTGGACTATTCCATTTTAAAGTCTGAGGTAAGAAGCATAAGGATTAGTGTGCACTCAATGGTCTAAAGTGTTATTATAAGCTGTCTAACTATTGGGACGTCTAACTAATGGGAGGACACCGGATTGGGTGGTCAGGCAAGCTGACATGGTTGATGCATGTCATCATATCCCAATTGCGTGGATCGATGCTCATGATGTCCATCACTGGATTGTCTGGTCCAGACTCGAATATTTACAGACCGCCGTAATATAGCTGGAATATTGCTGAGTGCGGTGTTAAACACACACACATTATCGACAAAATAACAGGAATCAATTATGCATTATGCATTATCTTTACGTGGCCTTTCAGAAGCTGTAGTATCAGTGAAGACAGTTGACTTATGGAGTTCCATGTCATTATTTTTCCTAAGTGACAACGTTTCGATACTGATGGTAGTACCTTTATCACGCAAGTGATGAGCAACTGAGCTGGACATGGTTCTATAGCTAAGAATTACACATACAAAGATGTCATGATGTCAATCACTGGATTGTCTGGTCAAGACTCGATTATTTACAGACCGCCGTCATATAACCGGAATATTGCTGAGTGTGGAGTTAAACAACAAACAAACAAACTGTATAAACCCTTGTGAAAAAATATCCCAAACCTTGGCTTACAAACTTATGCCAGTTAACCTGTAATTTATCATTGTTCATAGCTTATTCTCCAAATAGGCCAGGATGCTGTTGTACAAAACAACCTTAGCTCTACGACTATCATAAGTTTATTTGGAGGTATGGGAGTTAAGATCACCTTAGCGCTAAGATCGCTTCGTACAACAGCACCCTGTGGACAATGTTTCACTGAACAGAGAAAATTCCTATCTGCAGTGTTTGAGTGAGGGAGTTGGGTTTAACGCCGCTTTTAACAGTATTCCACAAGCACGGGTATGGTGCTGACAAACCAAGAAACATGATCGAGGCGAACTGGGATTCGAACCCACAATCATAGGTTTCTGGCGTGCCCAAGGGACGCAACTCTGCATAGCGAATCGCGGCGCCTTAAGACGACTGGGCCGACCATGCCCCCCTGCAGTGTTTGAAGTTAAACATAATGGCTGTAACGTTTCACAGATATCTACGATATGATCGATACTTAGATACACACTATACTAGAATCATCAGTTTGTGAGATCGTGATACGCTATACAATTAAATAGAACAGGAACTAATAGTTACCTCCTGTAATGTTTGTTTCAGCATGTTTAGTCATTAACAATGATTAAAGATTGCCGAATGATCAACAGCTTGTGTGTAATCGTTTGTAGCCAGCGCTGAACTGTAGACAAAGTTTTTCAGTACCATGTTTCTGTTTTTTTATTATCAAGGGAGTTACAAGAATTAAGAAATTGACTTCAATATGTTTTTTTATGGAGATAAAAATGTAGAAAACGGCTTGGACACCATGTTTATACCTCCATCAATGCAAAACATATTGAAGTCAATGCTTATACATTTATATGCCAGCAATAACATCTTCAAAGACTTATTTAATCATTACAACATGAAAACTGTAGACAATATGAAATCAGTGACGTTGTTCAGCACAATACTGCAATACAAGCCCCAAACCATTCGAAAACCAGCCAGTCAGGAAAAAGTCATCTGTAAGTGGGCATGGCCTTTTTTTTATATGTGTTTTTTTATTAAATATTCGTAAAAATAAATTTGCTATGTTAGCCAATCAAATGCTATGGAATCACTTGCAATTTATTCATTAATACAATAACCCAAAATTAATTAAACTTCTTTCTGAAATACCAGGAAAGGTATTGTTGAACCAGCATAGTTTTAAGAATTACATTATTATGAGGGCACTTTGTGCCAGTTTGTAAGCCTTGACTTTTGATGATACTTCCCCCTGATCTCCATATAAAGTTATTCATTTGCCAAAATATGCAAGAGAAATAAATTTACCTTGCATAATAATACAAATGAAACATTTTCAACCCAATTGTGTAACAACACTCTGCAAAATTTTCAGACTGAGTACTTATATTTCTTTACAGATATAACCTATACATTAATTCAACTACAGTGAATAATACGAAAAGGCACTACATCTCCCCCATTCTACCATGACTTTGGAGGTTGGCAAATCACAATAAATCCCCTTTCATTGAACAGATGATTTGACGGCTGCATAACCATGGAAGCTAATATTCATAGAATAGTACTTTTTTCAGTTTTCAGTAACTGTCAGAGGCATATTTAAATAATTATATCTACAATTATAGGTTACAAAATGCAAAGTTGTGGGTACTACAAAACTCAAAGGCAATAGATTTCATGCAGAAAACATGATAGAAATCTACAAAGAGAATGTATTTTCAGTTTGAGAGACAATTAACAGAGAGCTTGGAATTTGGCGCTTTTCTATATACAACTGTGACATGATATCTTTTGCATCACAATGAGTGAGATGATGTCATAATGGTGACATGCGGTGTAGAACGAATGCTTAACCACACTAAATTTAACATTTGAAACCTCACATCGCACGTCCATTTCCAAATTCAATTTAGTACAGATAAATCTACAAGTAACCTAGCTCTACATTGAAAAAAAAGTACAGGTATGTTTATCTCCTAATTGTAAACATAGACATGTATTGCTGATGTGAGCTGACCCACATGTAACACACTTGAATAGCACATGAACAGATGCAAATAAGAAATCACCTGAAACAGCATTTAAAGCAGAATTGTTTTCCCAAAAAGTCTACTCACTGGTTTAAAAATACCAAATTAACTGGACACAATTTACTAAGAATATATTGAATAGCCAAAGAAAACTATCAATACTCAATATTCCTCTGCTTTAACATAGAATATCATGATACTAATCATCAATCTATCATGCTCATGAATATTTGAGACTTTTGTTTGAAGGATCATAAAATCACAAAGAAGTTCATAGGATTAAAAGCCTTATCCTTTTAAAACCCTTTTCGTTATTCATATATATATCCTGTCGGATTATTCGAGGTTAGTTGTTAAAGAACTTGGGGGCTGCATCTTTCGACTGAATCAATCACATAAATCATTGCATAGGACCAGCGGAGCAGAGTGGATCATTCTTGTGAAGTGTACAGTGCTTAGGGAACATTACATTACAAGTAACATTTCATCAATTTAGATTCAACAAAGAAGTACAAGTATTTTAGCATATACAATCAGTCTTTCAAACGCGTAGCGCCTAACGGCTGATCTTTAAGCATTCAGTTGAAGACATGACAGGGAAAAAAACTCATTGGAATTGATAAAACGGGCAAAACCCCACCCGGCATTTATGCCACTTCTAAAATTACACTTCGAATAAATAAATCTGATCACCACATGTCGCCCGAGGATGATCTGATCAACGTCATGGCGTCAACAGCGAACTGATTTGATCAGCGTATTATCCTACTGATCGGCAATCGACACTGCCATGATAGGCTAGCTGCCTCTTTAACGGTAGCGAATGCGTCCATTGGAATTCGTCTGCTAGAGCTAGGCTAAATCTGAACCGCCATTTAGAAAAAAAACCCGGATAAAGTACCTACCCGGTATCGCTAGTTCGTTCAGGGGAGTTTTATGTAGACTTTCGGGTAGATGCTTCATCCAATCCGGGTTTCCAGGGTATAAGACATTTTTCGGATCGTTTTTAGTCTCCGTCACCCCTGCCATCTTCTTGATGATGAGAACTTCCGGAAATCACGCGCCTTCTAAATAGAGTGATCTCCCCTTGGACATAGCTTTACCCTCAGGCAAGGCAATCGATTTTCCCAATTCATGCTCTGCATTCATTAAATTGATGTTATGGGGAAACCTGATACAGCCATACTGGTTAACACTAACGTCATTGTGAAAAATATATAAGCTAGAATGGTAATCTGATAGTCTTATTAACTTGTTATCTTTTAAATGCAATCAATGATACCAAAAATAGTCAGTCATGTACGCATGCAGTCTATCTATAAATTGATTTATTTATTTGATGGATATCCTACACTCTATTAGTTATTTGTGTTATTTTTTATATATTTTTAAAAATACAATATAGTTAAAGGTTAGTGTTTAAATGACGCACGTTTCCATCCTAAGGCTTAGTTTGTTTCATTGCACACGTATTTAATATTAAAGCCATGAATCCTGATTCATAAGCGCCATTGCATCTCGAAGAGTCAGAGACTCTTGAGAGAGAGAGAGAGAGAGAGAGAGAGAGGGAGAGAGAGAGAGAGAGAGAGAGAGAGAGAGAGAGAGAGAGAGAGAGAGAGAGAGAACGCTTTTTCGTGAGTCTGGGTGTATTTCTTCAGTTTCAACTTGTTTGAGATAATTCAGGTATTTTATTTGCGCTTCCTACGGTCATGATTTACAATTATACACCATTGCTGTATAAAGCCATATAATCTATTGATAACTTTGAGTGTCTAGTTAGAGGTTAATATATTTCGCTGTATTCAAGGCTTGTTACTCAAAACGTAAAGTCCCATGAACATTTCTGATAACATGTTAGCTTTAGTAGTGAATATGCTTGATCTAAATCGATTATTCTAAACGTGAGGAAATGGTTTTGACAACCGTCGCGGTTATTTTGAGATCAAAGGATAGCGTTTGTTTACCTAAGTCAACATATTGATTAAGTGGCGGTTATTCATTAGTGCGCACACGTGACTTATGGGAAGAAACACAGACAATTCTAATTTAGGACAGAGAAGCAATCAGGATGCGGAAATAAACCAAGGGATAGGGCTGACAAAAATGGCGAATAGTAATTTGTTACAGATATCCCACAACAGAAAGCAAATCACACCACGAAAATAGAACAGCAATTGTACAAAGGTAATCAAAACGTTTCTAGGTGGAAAACATTCGGCTTACATAGCAAATATAAGGTCCAAGACACAACTATGATACCCGTATCAAATACATCATCATCAAATAACCATTTCATGTTTGTTTCATTTTTAGCCACCACCACACATGGGTGTGTACTTTCTTTTGCCCGGTAGTGTAGTTCCCAAGTCTATCTCATGTTTGTCGTAATAGCCGGCTTAAATGGGAATTGGCTGCCAGGCTCAGTGACTCAGCTGGGTACGTTTTCACCCCGATGACGAGGATCGTTGTTCATGCTCGTTGAAATGCTTACAGGTTTTTCCTGGTCAATCCGCCGTCATATTGCTGGAATAAAACAATATTCACTCACTCATTCTTTACAATCCATTGTCTTTCCTAACGATTTATTCCAGCCAATGACCGTATATATCGTTATCTTGAGAACTGTACATAGTTTATATCAGAAACGAACGTGACGAACTTACATCAGATGGCATTTCACGGCGTTATCAGCTGACGTTACGTGGCATATTTTTTCGCCTCCAGCACTGAAAAAGGTAGGAATTCAGCACCATTGTTGCAAATCTGTGAACGACCTTAAGTTTATTCTGCGTTGAATGTTTTGAAATCTGTAAGCATATTGCTAAAAAGATCAGCGATACATAAATTAATTAAACAGATGGTAATTTATTTTAAAATTTCAGAAATCGTTTACTAACCAGGAAATTTCCTTTTTAGTTTTCCATTTGAATATAAGACGTTCACCGAATTCATTTCTTTATGTGAATGTAGAGCAAATAATTACGAAATAAAACGGTAGATAGAAGGTCTTTGGGTTCGAATCCCAGAATTACACATGTTCCTACTTGTGTTCGTAGGTTTCTTCGGGTGGCCCAGTCGTCTAAGGCGCTGCAATTCGCTGTGCAGTGTTGCGTCCCTTGGGCGCGCCAGAAACCTGTGATTTAATGTTTCGAATCCAGGTTCGCCCCTATAATGTTTCTAGGTTTGTCAGCACCATACCCGTGCTCGTGTGTTTCACCGAAGTGGTAAACGCCTCAGACCGGCATCACTTGGGGCTTTCCTCCCACATTAAGCTGACACGCCGTGATATAACTGGAATACTGTTAAAAGCGGCGTTAAACCAAACTCACTCACTCACTGTGGTGTATACTTATCATTTTGGCCATCTAAGAATTTCATACTAAACAATAGACTGACTCGTCACGTGTGACTTGAATACTGATAAGAGGGTCGTTAAACTCCAATTAAAGGTATATTTAAATTATAACATGTTGGCGAGATCAACTCTCTTTTTGAACTAGTAAAATAACATAAAAAAGACAAACTGTTAAAAGTTTCCATTTTCAAACTTTGAACTCAAGAATGTATATTGGAAATTTAAGATACTCGATAACATATTTTCAAAATGTTATTATTGTTTTATTACTGTCCCTTGTTTTTTAAAGAAATCAATTGACGTTCAGTCGCCGCTATCATATTTTGTTATAAACTTTAAAACTTTTTTATTTAGGCCGAAAGGTTTTTGTTCCTATGACAAGGGTTCAACGCTAAGCCCAGAATGACCGCCCTGCTTTGATGGCTGCATTCCGGAGTACACCAGTCTACCTTAGATCCAATGAAAGTTTTATCAGAACACGATAACGTGACCCGTTCATCGACCTGAGTGTACTACACTGAAGACACTGAAGCATGCTCTAATGACAATTTAAGCATTTAAAGCATTTTTCTTTATTTTATCAAGATGATATTTTTTTGTCAGAGAAAACAAACAGATTTATCTCAGAGCGTAACATTTTAAACAACACGACCCCATTACCGGTAACTTAAAGAGTGACTCAGTTTCGTTTTGTTTCATTGGAGAGTGATTAGTTGCGCAATACAAGCAACACTAAAAATGAGGGACATGGATAGGCCAGATTCCGGAGATGAAGTCTTTGCCAGGACCCGCTAATATTGGGTTCGAACCCCACTCGCATGATCCCCGAATTGTCATGAACAATTTTTGTGTGTGTTGGTTTCACAACATTGGTACATGGGTACGACATAGATTATTTCTTGCATCCTTGCCTTATCAAGGTCACATGCCGTCATGCAACTGAAATACTGTTCAAAACGGCGTTAAAAATCAACTTAATGGTCGATCTAAATAAACCCAATCATATCGCGAAATACACCAGTCCTAATTATACCGCCATCGATTTCCTTCATTATATCACATTATGTATAGGACAAAACACGCCCCCGAGGTTTTGGCTGAAAGTGTAAAATCGCGAACGAGGGAAAAGGTTATACATTTTCAATCAAAACCGAGAAGGCGTGTTTTATTCAACTTACGAACCGACTAAATGCAAGAAATGCCAGAAAAAAATCGACATACCTTATAATGAAACAATACAGTGTATCGCGGTATAAAAGGAATTCGCTCAAAGCGTGCGAGAGAAAAAAAACCCACGTGCAGCATGGACCAGCTGGAGTCATTGCATGAAAAACTGAACAACTTCTCATCACCTGCCCCGGTAGCTCAGTGGGAAAATAGTGGGTTACAAAACTTAACACGATATGTGAGGTTGCAGATTCGATTCACGTCATGGATTTTCATGTTTAAAACATTTTAACCAATCTTCAAACAATTGTGTTCACATTAAGAGGCAAGTTTATAAAACGTTAATCGTAATCAATAGAAATGTATTCATCAGGTCCTGCCTTGGAGTTTATCAACATTTAGAAGAACCTTCTGTTACTGTAGTGTGACGTCGTCAGAGGTTTATAACTCAATGACGAACCCCTCTCCCTGGGAGGTTTTGCAACACTACACTCGTAAAGCCTCATCTTTGCAACAACAGAATCATTCGTCACCACTCACATCTTATCGTAACCTACAAGACGATCAGTCCGATTTTCCCGGAATGACACGACCGGAACAAGAACAGAACCAAAGTTTCTTTAACGAGTACATATATAATTCATAACGAAAAACCAAACCTTTACCATTTCATGACATCTCACCTCTCACCCCTCAGAAAATGTGGACCATCCCGGTCGTGGCCCTTGTCGCCTTCGCTTATCCGGGGCAAGGTAAGCTAACTATCCAAATATACATTATAGTGTCAGTGACAGGTTTACCAAGGTAAGATACAGTACATTTAGAAATAAACGATAATGTTATTCAGAAAGGAAAACAGACGTCTTTAGATAATTATATACAGTTCTGAAGTCTTTGATTGGCGTTTAGAAGTTGGTGGACCGTGGAAACAAGTAACAAACTTCTGTTGATAACAACTTACCTATTTCGTCTAACGACAGGCTTCACACACTTAAGATATAGCACATGACAATTGAATTAGTGGACCTGCATTACCAGCACAGTCGATAACAACAACAGGGGTGGGCCTGTTATCTGTGTGTTCACTTGCTGTCGACCGACCGTACCGGGTTCTAGTTGTAAACATGATGCTACGAGTACGATGGGTAAAGCATTGCTTGAGTTTTGTCCTGTGAAAAGGAAACTTAAATCAATTTTTACAGGTGAACATCTTCAGTGTCTGTGTCGAGGTGCATGGACAGATATCCACGGCACGAACGTGTCACGCTCCACGGTAGTCTCCTGTTCAATAACGGAAGATACAATTCAACATGCTTTCATATAATGTACTACTCCAAAAACGTTAGAGACCACCCGATTAGTTCATATTACTATAGTTATTCTGTCATGCCATGAAATATTCTTTCACATTGCTTTAGTTAATCTACCCATGGACCCTAAATATAGAGTATTAAGTGTCCATGATCTATCATGGCATGGCAGATTAACTATAGTAATGTGAAAGAATCGGGTGGTTCTTAACTTGTTTTTAGTGGTATATTTCCTCAAAAGAACAGGTATCACAAAGGTCACCGCCAAACATCTAAATGTTAAAAGTGCCGCGAATTCAGTTTATGTTTGTGGTGTTGTGTAGTTGCGTCCAGTCTGGACTGCACGTTCGAGAACGAGACACTGTGCGGGTACACCGTGGAGATTGACCACACCCCTGGACTGTTTGACGTCATGCAGTGGAGGTGGGGCGAGGCGGTGGAGAAACAGAAGTACTACGACATCAAACTGCTTGCCTTTGGGCCTGATGGCGACCACACCACTGGAGCTCCTGATGGTAAGGAATGGGTGGGTGGGTGAATGGTTGTGTGAGTGAGTGAGTGAGCTTGGTCACAGTTGATGTCTGTCATAAAAGACTTGCCTATTAAAACAGACACGACAAATAATACTTGTAGTTGTGATATCAGCTTTTTATCTCAACATCCCAAGTTCAGACAGTGCTGGGAGATGAAGAAACAATGCAGGATGCATTGTGACATCCTCATGGTGTCTCTAAATACGATCCTGCTTCTATGAGATCGCGTACACGGTAATTGCATTGATTCCTTGAAAGAAAGACTTTCGTGCGTGTACTGGTGGTAAAAGAGTTTCGTCGTTCAGTTCCGGTGAAAATGGATTATCTGCCCGTGGCCAGAACATGTACACCAGCCCGCCATTACATAGCTGAACTACAACAGAAAGATCATTGGCTTACTACTGTCCGATATCTGAATAAACATATTAGAGTATATAGGTTGTTTGGTTTAGTTACGTATGCCGTCATATAGCTGGAAAATTGCTGAGTGCGGCGTTTAACAACAAACAAACAAACTTACGTCTGCAACTGAAGGTCAAACGCTTAGGTCAAGGTATTTGCGTCTGTGGACGGGGAGTAGAGATAATGTACAAGAAAAGAACTGCCTTGACAGGATGTTTACAGAATGACAGGTATATGATCCAAGAATGATTAAGTTGAAATTGTTAGGTTTGTTTTGTTTTGTTGTTGTTTAACGCAGCACTCAGCAATATTCCAGCAATATTACGGCGGGGGACGACCCGTGAAGATCAGGGGTAGAACAGGTCTTCAGCAAACCATGCTTGCTGTAAAAGGCGACTATGCTTGACGTAAGAGGCGACTAACGGGATCGGGTGGTCAGACTCGCTGACTTGAATGATGCACATCATCGATCACACTTGCGTGGACCGATGCTCATGATATCCATCACTGGATTGTCTGGTCCAGACGCGATTATTTACAGACCGCTGTCATATAGCTGGAATATTGCTGAGTGCGGCGTTAAATATCAAACCAACCCAAAAAGGGCTGGGGACAACAGAAAAAGACGTCACACAGTCTACTCATGTGTGGAATCGAACCCGAACTGTGGCGAGACGAACGAAATTTAACCACTGGAGTGTCAGTGAGTTTTATTGCCAGTGAAATAATATTCTAAAATTTCCCTCTGTTACCCATTAAATGACATGCTTGACAAATGATATAGTAATGATATACTAAATAGCCGATTTCAGTGTGTGCCAAGTTGTGTTTGTTAGTTTTCTTGGTGGGGAAAGTGATAAAAAGTGCTTTTCCCGCATCACTCTTGTTTTCATATATAAAGCCCTAATCCCATGTGCCCGGGAAACATTTAACTTATTTAAAGTCTGAGCATGTCGCCATGAGAACAAGCATCTGATAGATAAGACATACATGTTTCAGTTTACAGATAGCGGCCATTGCTTAGCACATACATGTAAAATACATACTTTCACTGGCTTCACGGCAACAGAATTTGTCTGCATTGTTACCCGTCACCATGCTAAGCGATAGTTAAACGAGAACCAACATTGATTTGATTTTGTTGTTATATTTTTCGTGGAAGTATTATAATATTCCTGTATCAAACATTTAGCATAAGCCAATGTACAGTCATGACAAACACGACGACCTTCAATTATTCGCCAATACAGGTTAAGTGTTGAGAGGACGCGTCCAATTCTTACAGGGGTGTTGGATTTTTTGTTTTGAAAGGAATTGTTCTAAGAACACAGAATTTAGTGTGTATTATCCACTCAATTCACAGTCCTCGTGAAAATATAGTTTATATGACGAACTTAACAGTCATCTCCTGATGTCGAATATATTTCACTCAAGTTGCACGCTTTGTTTACACGATATGAAATGTAATCGTCCACCCACAACTGTCGTCTGCTCTTGAGAACATGGATGCGTTGATACCTGTGATATTCAATCCCGATGCCTAGTACCTAGGCACATTTACTTACTAAAATATGTAAGTATGATGTATCGTATAATTTACTGGATAATGTATGATAAATATTTAAACCATTGATCCAGGTGAAGATGAGAGAAAGCATTTTCCATTACACTGAAATGATCATCTAGAAGTTCGTTCAACAGTATGTAATGTTCATAGAGGAAGAATTATAACATTTCGAGTCCCAGTCATAGGTAATGGCCTGACTTTAGTATTGCAATATATTGCAATAATGATTCATGTATTGCGATAAGTACCATGCTATATTGCATGCGTTCTTCCATCTGTAATTTGCTATGAACTTGAATAAAAAACGTTACCATGCACATTTTTGACAATTCGTATTAGTCCGCCATTTTGATAGTTGTTGATATGGTCACAATGCAAGTGTAACTAATCGCGAATAGTTTCGTTTCTTTGATCACAGGAATAAGTCGCTAATAATTTCGATTCAACTTGTCACTTTACTTAAACTTTGCCACAAGGTGAAAAATGCATGATTTAGGAAAACGCAATTTACCCGTATTTTTCATACGTATTGTGATACGTATTAATTCGTATTTCATATCATGGTTTACCGGCAATACCGCGCACCTCAAATTTGTACATTTACAAGAATGTGTTTTACGATTGGTTTGCGATGTGCACTGATGCTAAAGGAGGCGTAAAATTAACGCACAATTAAGGAATAAAACTGGATGAATGGCGTATGGGTGTTACATGCATGATACGATATGGATGGGTGAATGGTTGAGTGAATGGTTGAGTGAGTGAGTGAGCTTGGTCACAATTGATGTCTGTTATAAAAGAAACTGAATGAAACTGGATGAATGGCGTATGGTGTTACATGCATGATACGATACAATGTATTATTCTGGTGTTTCACTCATTTTCACTCGTAAATGATTATAAGATAACATACATTTTTTTAAAGGTATATGCTTATACAAGATTCAGGAATTATTCATTTTGGTCGTACGTTGATATATTATTAATATTAGGGATGATCGTAAACCATAATGTGAATGGATATTGTGTTAGGGCGCATTAGAAACTGAAATTTTCATCTATTCGCGACAAATAACATCCATGTATGCAGTGTGATAAATGGTTTTTTCATCAGCACTAGCCAGACGGGCTAGCTAGATATTTTTACTAGCCCATTTCATATAAAAATACCCCCTTTCACCCTACCAAATAGTAGGACAATTCCGGAGAAGGAAGGGAGAAATTATTTCAGATTTCAACAAGGTTAGAGTGACAATTTCAGTCATAATGAAACAGGTTTCTGTCACTTGCAGAACTAGTGTAAGGGTTTCTGTCATTTGCAGAACTAGTGTAAGGGTTTTTGTCACTTGCAGAACTAGTTTAAACCATACATTATTCTTTTTAGAAATTGTTTTTTCAATTGAACATTTTTTATTTGAGAAGGGGGAGGAAGGTTGGTATATTATGGATCCATAGGTAGGAAATTAAGTCAGTCAGTCAGTCAGTCGGGCTACCTAGGTTTCATTTTCACTACCCAGGAAAGAAAAGAAAGTAGCCACGGGCTTCCGGACAGGCGGTAATTTCGCTTTCTGCCTGTATGCATTAATATAATAGTAACTATCTGTTTATCTGTTTCATCCAAGGTCACTTCATGTACGCCGTGCGCCCCATCAACCCCCACACCAACACCACCCTTCTTTCCCCGCCTTCCTCGGGACGACTTTGTTACGTACAGATGTTCTACCACATGGGGTCCAAGAGTCTCAACACCATGACCTTGTATGTCATCAAGTACGGGGAGAGGATCAAACTGTGGTCAGTGGATGGCTCGAAGGGCCGGTCGTGGAACAGGATGCTTGTAGACATTGAGAAGTACACTGAGTTTGGCGATTATCAGGTAACTACTTCATGAACGCTTTTGGTCCGACCATTAGATATTTTAGGGTTGTGGGGGTTTACGGGGGTTGGGCTGTGATTTTATCGAAAAAATAAATTGTCCCTTGAAAAAGTAATGATGCCTTAGACTGTTGAAAAAAGAAAAGAAATGGTCTGCACAAAAAATATGATATAATCATAGCCCATAGGTTTTTATGTTCAAAACTTCTTAAAGTCAATTCTTATAAATAAGATATAAATACGCCAACAATGATAACTTAGAATACTGCTTATTTGATTATTAATACAAAAAGATGTGTCAAAATAAGAAATTCAGTGACATCATTCAGTGCAATAATTCAACACAAGCCCCGCCCATTCTATTATCAGACTGTCAGGAAACAGTTGTCCAATCGTGGGCGTGGCCTATTTTTTCGGTTTATTGGAACATAAACGCAAAAGCAACTGCCTGGTTAGCCAAGCACATGCCATGGAATCACTTGCAATTTATTTATTCCACGAACTACGGAAAATACGTAATTGATAAGGTGCAATTGTATCCTGTTCGTCCCGTTTATGTTTCTGGGTTTGTCAGCACCAACCCGTGCACTTGGGTTTCACCAATACGTTTTCTATAAAAAAAAAATCGAAAAAGTTCTCTGGAAAAGTTCTCTGGGAAATATCAGGAATATTTACAAAGAAAAAAGTTGGGAACATGTATAAGACCTGCATCACAGCAGGCTTTCGTCCCAGACGCTGAAAGGCCGTGATATAACTGAACTACTGCCATGCGCGTCCTAAAACATAACTCACTGACTCTTGTATAAACTCTGTCACATGAGCATGGACGAATTAGGAATGGAATGTGCCATCATTTGGATCCACTTATTCAACCTAAACGACAATCAACTGCAGAGATAATTCAGTTACCTCCGAGCAATGTCAACATTTGAATTTTAGCTAAAACTGTCGTATCGAGGCAGGGGATTTGGTTAAAGTCGTTTGTCGTTTGCCTTAAAATAGACTTCAAAATACAAGGTTACGAAAACCTTTGTTTTATTGAACTATCAAATACTTAGCTCTAATGGATGCCTCGATTCATTACATAGGGTACTGTTGTATAGACATCGTGATACTTGACTGACACTACAGCGACGTGTGAGTTGTTAGCATGATATGTACTGATAGCGGTATCAGTACCTGGTTCTGTACATAACTGGTGCGGTACTTCGTGATAGACCCGTGAAGAGACGGGCTAGAAATGGTCTTCAGTCGTAAGTGCGACTATGCTGGTCGTAAGAGGCGACTTGTATCCCAATTGCGTGGATCGATGCTCATGTTGTCAATCACTAGTTTGTCTGTTCCAGACTCGATTATGTATAAACCGCCGTCAAGAAGCTGGAATATTGCTGAGTGCGGCGTCAAACAACAAACAAACAAAAAACATCCACCCAAAAACCTGACTTCACACCAATTCTTGAGTATCAACCAATGATGTTCATGAAACGTAATCGTAGAAGTTAGATAACCTGCAGGACAGGCAGACATGGACACAGACAGTTGATGCGTCTGTGCATGACAAATGATTAGTACAAGCGTTAGACAACAACGTTATCTGATGAAAGATTAGACAGCAAAATGACTTCATGAAGATTTATACAGGCGATAGAAAACAAAATAGCTTGATAAATTATTAGACAACGGAATTACTTGATGAAAACTTACACAACATCATTACTTGATGAATGATCAGACAAAAAAATGAGTGAGATTACATAACATTACTTGTTGATATTTTAGACAACAAAATGACTCGATGGAAGATTACACAACATTACTCGATGAAAGATTACACAACATTACTTGATGAAAGATTTCACACCATTAATTAATGAAAGATTACACTACAAATCTACAACATTACTTGTTGAAAGATTACACAACATTACTTGATAAAAGATTACACAACCTTACTTGTTGAAAGATTACACAACATTACTTGTTGAAAGATTACACAACATTACTTGTTGAAAGATTACAAAAACATTACTTGTTGAAAGATTACACAACATTACTTGATGAAAAATTACACAACATTACTTGATAAAAGATTACACAACCTTACTTGATGAAAGATTACACAACATTACTTGATGAAAGATTACACAAAATTACTTGTTGAAAGATTACACAACATTACTTGATAAAAGATTACACAACATTACTTGATGAAAGATTAGACAACATTACTTGTTGAAAGATTACACAACATTACTTGTTGAAAGATTAGACAACATTACTTGTTGAAAGATTACACAACATTACTTGATAAAAGATTACACAACATTACTTGATGAAAGATTACACAACATTACTTGATGAAAGATTACACAACATTACTTGATGAATTACTACTCTATCCGTGACATAAACAATGTTTGACCTGACATTCAAGTATCATGATACGTATTGTTTTTTAACCTGCTATCCAATTATCCTTTATGTTCTCGGTCAAAATGAATGTGTATCGTTACATTGGGCACACTAAGCTCAAACATTTAAGCGAAAGGAAACACAGTTTACAAATATTTACGTTTTTTACGGTTTTCTGTCAGTGCCCGTTTCAACCGGTATTGTTCCTTGTACGTTGTTGTGTTTTAGATTGCCATTGAGGTGAATGAGCCGGACGACGCTTACTGGACTGTGGGGTACGCCCTGGACGATATCAAGGGGATCGAGTGTAGTACGTATCTGGTTCAATTATTGCTGTAATCGATATCAACTCATTCATCAGAATCCTCGCCGTTCTAAGGCGTCGATTTAAGAAGCAAAAAAACACCCAAAAACATGGGTCTTTAAAAAAAGTGGCCTATGTCGCCAGGGTGGCTTGTCATCTTGACCATATAAATTTAGTTATTCATCCTTCGGATGCTTTGAAAACTTCATATGAAATTGCTTTGCGTATAAACAATAAACTGCAGCCTATGAGTAATTAGGAGTGTTGTTGGCTATCAGTTGGCCTCAGCTGTCTGATAATTTTGCAGCTGCAGCTGTTGATGACGATCTTCATCAAATCTTTTTCTATTTGTCTCCCAGACCCTAGAGCATAAATTTAAAAAGGAGACTCAAGTCAAGAACGATTTGGCAAGTCTAGATTGCCTCAACTCAAAGAAATAAACAACTGTTCTGGGCTCAATTTGGATTTTAATATTTTGAAGATGTATCTTTTAAAATAAGATTCCTATATTTCAGGAACTAAATTCCAGTCTGTTGCCCTACATGTATCACCATCATCAGCTAAATGACCCTCACTATCAGTACAGCTGTCTGTGTTTGTAGACTGACACCTTCATCAGCTAATTGACCCTCACTATCAGTACAGCTGTCTGTGTTTGTAGACTGAAACCTTCATCAGCTAAATGACCATCACTATCAGTACAGCTGTCTGTGTTTCTAGACTGACACCATCATCAGCTAAATGACCATCACTATCAGTACAGCTGTCTGTGTTTCTAGACTGACACCTTCATCAGCTAAATGACCATCACTATCAGTACAGCTGTCTGTGTTTCTAGACTGACACCTTCATCAGCTAAATAACCATCACTATCAGTACAGCTGTCTGTGTTTCTAGACTGACACCTTCATCAGCTAAATGCTCATCACTATCAGTACAGCTGTCTGTGTTTCTAGACTAACACCTTCATCAGCTAAATGCTCATCACTATCAGTACAGCTGTCTGTGTTTCTAGACTAACACCATCATCAGCTAAATGACCCTCACTATCAGTACAGCTGTCTGTGTTTCTAGACTGACACCATCAACAGCTAAATGACCCTAACTATCAGTACAGCTGTCTGTGTTTCTAGACTGACACCATCATAAGCTAAATGACCATCACTATCAGTACAGCTGTCTGTGTTTCTAGACTGACACCTTCATCAGCTAAATGACCCTCACTATCAGTACAGCTGTCTGTGTTTCTAGACTGACACCATCATAAGCTAAATGACCCTAACTATCAGTACAGCTGTCTGTGTTTCTAGACTGACACCATCATAAGCTAAATGACCATCACTATCAGTACAGATGTCTGTGTTTCTAGAATGACACCTTCATCAGCTAAATGACCCTCACTATCAGTACAGCTGTCTGTGTTTCTAGACTGACACCATCAACAGCTAAATGACCCTCACTATCAGTACAGCTGTCTGTGGTGTTTCTAGACTGACACCTTCAACAGCTAAATGACCCTAACTACCAGTACAGCTGTCTGTGTTTCTAGACTGACACCTTCATCAGCTAAATGACCCTCACTACCAGTACAGCTGTCTGTGTTTCTAGACTGACACCATCAACAGCTAAATGACCCTCACTACCAGTACAGCTGTCTGTGTTTCTAGACTGACACCATCAACAGCTAAATGACCCTCACTATCAGTACAGCTGTCTGTGGTGTTTCTAGACTGACACCATCATCAGCTAAATGACCCTCACTATCAGTACAGCTGTCTGTGGTGTTTCTAGACTGACACCTTCATCAGCTAAATGACCCTAACTACCAGTACAGCTGTCTGTGTTTCTAGACTGACACCATCATAAGCTAAATGACCATCACTATCAGTACAGATGTCTGTGTTTCTAGACTGACACCTTCATCAGCTAAATGACCCTCACTATCAGAACAGCTGTCTGTGTTTCTAGACTGACACCTTCATCAGCTAAATGACCCTCACTATCAGTACAGCTGTCTGTGTTTCTAGACTGACACCTTCATCAGCTAAATGACCCTCACTATCAGTACAGCTGTCTGTGGTGTTTCTAGACTGACACCTTCATCAGCTAAATGACCCTAACTACCAGTACAGCTGTCTGTGTTTCTAGACTGACACCTTCATCAGCTAAATGACCCTCACTATCAGTACAGCTGTCTGTGGTGTTTCTAGACTGACACCTTCATCAGCTAAATGACCCTAACTACCAGTACAGCTGTCTGTGTTTCTAGACTGACACCTTCATCAGCTATATAACCGTCACTATCAGTACAGCTGTCTGTGGTGTTTCTAGACTGACACCTTCAACAGCTAAATGACCCTCACTATCAGTACAGCTGTCTGTGTTTCTAGACTGACACCTTCATCAGCTAAATGACCCTCACTATCAGTACAGCTGTCTGTGGTGTTTCTAGACTGACACCTTCATCAGCTAAATGACCCTAACTACCAGTACAGCTGTCTGTGTTTCTAGACTGACACCTTCATCAGCTATATAACCGTCACTATCAGTACAGCTGTCTGTGGTGTTTCTAGACTGACACCTTCAACAGCTAAATGACCCTCACTATCAGTACAGCTGTCTGTGGTGTTTCTAGACTGACACCTTCAACAGCTAAATGACCCTCACTATCAGAACAGCTGTCTGTGTTTCTAGACTGACACCTTCATCAGCTAAATGACCATCACTATCAGTACAGCTGTCTGTGTTTCTAGACTGATACCATCAAAAGCTAAATGACCATCACAAAATGACTGACACCAGCTGCGCTGATGATAACAATTCCGTTTCAGATCTGCCTGTCGACTGTAACTTCGAGAAGGATCTATGTAACTGGGAGGTTCAGTCCAACACCTCCGTGTTTGACCCCATGAAGTGGTCACGTGGGAAAACCAGGACCAAGACCTGGTTTGGAATGGTGGACACGATGAGGAACGGACCACAGAATGATCACACAACTGGCACCAGTCACGGTAAGCCTGGCCAAGCACCTCCCCTTGTACGTGTGAGGATGAGATTGTGTGTCACAATGTGACGTCGGGGGCTTCACATATTGTATGTACCTACCTACCTACCTACCTACCTACCTATCTACCTACCTACCTACCTACCTACCCGGGTTCGATCCCCGACATAGGTACAATGTGAAGCCCATTTATGGTGTCCTCCGCCGTGGTATTGCGGGAATATTGCTAAAAGCGGCGTAAAACCATACTCACTCACTCAAACGTCTTTCGTCGCATGACCAACGATTTGCGAATTCTATGTTCACGAGAACACGTTGCAATTAAACATTCTTAGCATGGGATAGGTGGGACTGAAAGCTCAGCCGATTCATAGACAGGTTTTGTACTTTGTACAGAGTATCATAAGCTGCCCCCTTTCCTTTTAATTTTACACAAAGTCATCGATAAACATGTGATTGAGTTTCCATTATATTTCCTTCCAAAACACACCAATGGTTCCTTTATTTTATTTTCATTATGAACGTACAGCCAGCCTGTGAAAATCATGGGGAATGCGGGGCAGGATCGGTCGTCAGTTTATAGTATGCTTGTAAGACCTTAATGAGAACCAAGAGGTCACTATGGCGTAGGACGTCTTCATTCTACCAACCACTGGTTCGTCTGTTCCAGACTTCGTTATTTTCAGCCGACGTGATATAAATGGAATCTTGCTGACTACGGCGCATGCCACCACTCTCACTCACTCACGCACTCACTCACTCACTCACTCACTCACTCACTCACTCGTAAATTGCAGGATATTTCGCCTATGCCCTGAAGACGCTGGCTGGCAATACCGCCACTGGACTCGTCAGCCCCAAACAACTTGAACAAATGTGTCACGTGACCTTCTGGTACTACATGAACGTCACCACGCTGCGAAGTCTGGAGTTCCACGTCCGGAAAGACGGTATGGACTTCCAGGTGTGGAACGTGAGCGGTAACCAGGGCAACCAATGGAACTATATGGAACTAGACGTTGAGACTATAGCCGAGAAGGGGAGTTACGAGGTAAAGACGACAATCACGATGTCGGATGGTGTCGAGGATGAAGGACACTAACGTTATGAATATGTTGTTTTAGTTCTATCGTTATTGTAAATATTATTTCGATGCGTAGTTTCCAAACGGATTTTCGAAAAAATGATGTGTTAATCATCATTGAATGAAACCTCACTACATTCATGACATGTCGGCCTCCCATTCTGGCGCCAGGTATTTGATTTCTTTACAGTTTTGATACATTTTGTCATTCAAGGTTTTCAGCAATATTCCGATGTCAAGTGCATTCATCATACTTCCATGTCAGAGTGATGAGATCTGATTGATCCAAGTGATCTTGATAAAATACAATGTATCCCGCCTTGGTGGGAAATAGATTTCTCAACAGGAGAATAAATCTCGTATACCCCTCCACGAGCAAGACAGGCTGCACGTGGATTTTGGAGAGGCAGAATAAATCCCTCATACCCCTCTTCGAAGCAAAAAGCTGCAGGCTTTTTTGCGAGTCAATAAAGGTCACGTGACATAGCACAAGTTAACCTCATCTCAATCGAACAGCTGTTTTCTATATTTTTTTTGTTTTAATTCTTTCACTTTCTGATACTCTTGCAACTTAATATAGATTGCTATTTTACTCTCCCACATTTAGTTGGCAGGCACGATGTAACTGAAAACATACTCGGAGCGGTATTATAAATATAACTCACAAAAGGCTGATAGCATTGCTTAAAGTGACTTATAGAGATCTATTTACACCCCCCCAAAAAAAAACCAAAACAAAAAAAACCAAACAAACAACAACAAAAAAACAAAACAAAAAACAAAACAACAACAAAAACAAAAAACAAACAAACTGCAGTTCTATCCTGGCGTTAGTGACCTCTTGTCAACGATCGCGATCAAAGATAAATGTTCAACATATCCTTGGTGATGTTCACATTTTTCTATTTGAATTTTAGGGGCGGTCGGGTAGCTTAGTGGTTAAATCGTTCGCTCGTCACGCCGAAGACCCGGGTTCGATTCCCGACATGGGTACAATGTGTGAAGCCCATTTCTGGTGTCCCTCGCCGTGATATTGCTGGAATATTGCTAAAAGCGGCGTAAAACCATACTCACTCACTATTTGAATTTAAAATAAGACGTATCAGAACTGGTACCCACCCATCTGTAAAATCAATATCTAAATGCAATTACTATCAACAATGCAAAATAATGCGTAATGCGGATTGATAGCTAATCACAAACCTATCTTAGTATATCAAGTGAAATATATTAAAAGTTAGATGGCGCAACAGATGAGTTAACCGTGGAACATTTCTCATACTGAAAGATTCTGTGAATGAAAAAAGAAAGGAAATATATAGAGGATGAATACCATTTGACACGTTAACATGTTTATAACAATCAATATTTACAGCGCTAGTACATTGATAGACTGACATTTGTCCCCGAAATAAAATGACTTATTTAAAAAAGATGCATCTGCGAAATAAATTTTTAAAAATCCAAATGGAGCCCTGGAACAATCCTTAATTACAGGGCTGATGAAGCAATCTAGAATTGCCAAATCATTCTAGACTCTTTTTGTAATATATTCTCTCGGGTCTGGGAGACAGACTAATGCACTGACTATCCCTCTGTTGAAACAAGTGTACATCCCATTAAATCCACTCACAGACATGAACTATATAATATTACTGTTTCTAGCTAAAGTGTTTACACTTGGAAACTCAATCACCTTCTGACATGGGGTATACATGAGCATTTATCTTCGTTGAATATACTTTTGTAGCATGAGCCAGTGGATTTTTATCTGAATAAATATGTTTGTCCGTCTGTTCGTCAAATCTTTAGTTGCTCGTCCTATGTTTACGTTCCAGCTGGTGTTCTGGGCCAAAGAGCCCGTGGATAGCTACTGGACGGTAGGATACGCTATTGATGACATCAAGGGATACAGATGCGGTGAGATTGTTAAAAAACAACTCTGACATTTAAAAACAAGATTTTTTCTCAGAATAAGTAGACTGTGTAATCGGTGTCATCTAGAAGGTAAGTAATTTGGTAAAGCAGATCCGTAAATATTTTTTTAAATGTTCTCAATGTTGTATGATGTGTACCTTATCTAATGTACACTTTTTTACACTACAGCATGTGAAAATAACCCTTGTAAAAACGGAGGGGATTGTATCAACCGTTTTAACAACTACACCTGCGTCTGTCCCAAATACTTTGAGGGTCAAAGCTGTGAAATAAACACCAACCCATGTAGAGATTATCCGTGCAAGGTGAGTTTATTGCTTGCGTCGAAATTTATATTGTATCTGGAATCGAAGCCCGTTCCCTAAAGCGGTCTATGCCACTGAGAAGATTGTAAAGTCTAAGTTAAAGTGAGAGAGTTCTGAAGTCGTAGTGCTGTGATCGCTTTGTACCATGATTATCTTCCTACCTTTCAGTGACCCTCCGACACACTCCCAAGCAGCCATTTTGTCCGACCCATACCCATTTTTTCGTTATACTACTACTGTTCAGTGTACGGTAACCTTTCCGATCCGTCTATGCCAAAACATTTGGAGTCCAGCCAAACCCTTTGTCGTAGCATACAAGCTAACCCCATCTCATTATAATTAGCGTCGAAATATTTGTATTCAAGGTGGGTTCTCATTTGTACAAATTGAAATTTCCGAATCGAGGTAATAAAAAAGAAGCTGAATCGTTTTAGAGTGAGTGAGTTGGGTTCAACGCCGCTTTTTAACAGTATTCCAGTTATATCGCGGCGTGTCAGCCTAATGTGGGAGGAACGCCCGACGTGATGCAGGTCTCGGTCGTCTACCACTTCGGTGAAACCCACGAGCACGGGAATGGCGCTGACAAACCCTGAAACATAATCCGGGCGAACCGTGATTCGAACCCACAATCATAGGTTTCTGTTTCTACCATCAAAGTCAGCGAGCCTGACCACCCGATCCCGTTAGTCGCCTCTTACAACAAGCATAGTCGTCTCTTAGGACAAGCATGGTTTGCTGAAGACGTAATCTGACTCGGATCTTCACGGGTGAACATCTTAAAGTTGAGAGGGGTCGATTCGGAATGAAATGTTTGATTTTAGTGAGATTGAATTTGCAAATTAATCGTCCTTGGTCGAACGGAATTCAGTGGACTTGTGACTACATGTTTACATCACAGAAGTCCACACAATGGTACTTGAAGGCTCTATGTACCAGCAGCCTTAGAAAGTAGCTTTTGAATGACTACAGATGGTCCAAAAGACTAGTGCAAAACCTATTTGAACAGAATAGTATTACGGAGCACTGGTACATATAGCCCTCAAAATCATCGAGGACTACCATTATAAGAAGGGCGGTGAGGTAGTCTAGTGGATAAAGCGTTCAATTGTTACACCGAAGGCCAAGGTACGATTCCCCACATGGGTACAATGTGTGAAGGCCATTTCTGGCGTCCCCTGCCGTGATATTGCTGGAATATTGTTAAAAGCGGTATAAAATAAAACCCACTCACTGACTCACCATCATAAGCTTTGTATGTGTCCTCAGCGTAAATTAGTAGTGTTGGGTTAACTTGGAAGGCTGTACCAGTATGTCCTTTACAAAATAGAGAATCTCACCCGAGTGTCTTTTGATATCAAATATATCAACACGAGTTGATAAAAGTGGTTACAAACAAGACTTGCGGAGGAGTATTCCATTTTTATCAACGACCAGAGCCATTAGTGATGTCATTTGATTGTGACGTCATGGTAACGATGACGTCACAATGGTCTGCACAACATTGTGATGCAATTATATATTATTTGTATGATCTTTTTAGAATTTCGCTACCTGTAACCCGGTAGGCGACAACTACACGTGCGATTGTTACCCAGGCTACACTGGTCACGACTGCGACCTGGACGTGGACGAGTGCGCCAGCTCGCCCTGCGCACATGGCACGTGCTTAAACCTGTATAACTCCTATTATTGCTGGTGTGAGGCGGGGTATGAGGGAGACCAGTGCAGTACAGATATAGACGAATGTGAGTCCACACCATGCCAGAACGGCGCCAACTGCACCGAGGGCGTCAACTCCTACACCTGTGACTGTCCCCCGGGGTTTACTGGCAAGCAGTGCGAGGTCAACATCGATGAATGCGCGTCGTCCCCCTGTCAACATGGCGGCATGTGCTATGATGAAATCAACACATACGTCTGCATATGTCCTCCAGACTTTGCCGGGGTATTATGTGAAGTCAGTAAGTAGATTTCACAGGTATTTCACTCTTGTACAATCAACTGCATCCTTGAATCAAATTAAGGTGAATGCGCAAAAGGTTACTTTTTATCTCCCCCTCCTCCTCCTGGCAAGCTACTTGTACAGTGATATAGTCATCACCTGGTCTGTCCGTCCGTCTCTCTGTCAGATCATATTACGTTTCCGGAGCATAACTTGAAAGTTCTTAAAGACTTTTCATACAGACTTGGTACATGTATTAACTAGTGGCTAAAGTGGTGCCTTTTGCTATTTAGGGATTTTAGAATATTATTTTTTCCGTTTCCATGGCAACAAGTTCATAGTGGTATATCTCTAAAACTAAAAGTGATTCCTTCATGTAAACATTGCACACACAAAGACTAAGTTGTCAACTGGTGCCTTTTGCTATTTAAGGATTTTCAGAATTCATATTTTTTTCGTACCATGGCAACAAGTTTGACTTCGACTCTGTTCATATTGGTGTGTACCTGACCTGAAATACAAAGTTCCGAATCCTAATTCCATGGTATTGTTTTGATAGCTCAAAAACTACTCTTGTGTACGGACAGACAGATTAGATAGAATTTATCTCATCAGGTTGAACTTACTGTCAGATGATTTGTTCTTTCGACTATGTGTGGGCCAGGGGATTGGTCATCTCCTGATGACTCTTGCTATTATAAAAGACGACAGGCAAACTTCAAGCAACCACTTTCCCCAACCCTTAAAGGAAAGCAAATATTTGAGGCATATTTGCATCCGTAACCGTAAAATTGGCCATTTGAACAACGCGTTACTGGTCTTCTTACTCAGGTTTTACAATGTATTTGAATATAGCACTACCCAAAATTTCCGAATTACGTAAAAGGTAATATATAGACATTAGGATGTTTCTCTAATTGGAAATACTGAAATATTGTCAAAGCGGCGGAACCTCATGCGATAAATGCTGAATCATCTCACAAAAGGCAAAAGACAGCCATACTTGTTTATGCATGAACATTGTAGAGTAGACACAATGTGTGGATATTGCATTCCAAAGAGGATATTTGTATTTTCAACAGGAAACTTGATGGATTGTGACTTCGAGTCCGATTTCTGTGGCTACCAAGTCTCCACCACTGACCCAAGCAACGACACCGACGCATTTGAGTGGGTACGCGGTCCCCTCTCAGTGCCTGGCTTCTTCGGCAGTAGCCGGATCCTCTTCATGGGCCCCTCCGTCGACCACACCACTGGCGAGACTGACGGTATGCACCTGGTGAAATCCCGCGTGGCAAATTAAGATAAAACGCAATGTGGAGTAGATAGAGTGCAAACAATTGTTTTCAGAATTCCTTCAGTGGTTTTGCTCACTTTCTATAGTGTTTGTTTGTTTGTTGTTTTACGCCGTACTCAGCATTATTCCAGCTATAAGACGGCGGTCTGTACATAATCGAGTCTGGACCAGACAATCCAGTGATTGACATCACGAGCATTGAGCAAGTCAGCGAGCCTGACACCCTGACACCCTATCCCGTTTGTCGCCTTTTATGATATCACTATACATAGAAAAGATATCATGTCCACAAAAAAATAAATATGTATTGATAAGTAGATGTAGGGAAATCGCGTGCGATGAAAGTAGAGTGGTCTCAGCAATGTCAGGAATGTTTAAGTGTACGCGGAGAACATCGTGTTAGTACTGGTTAAGAAATACATTGTGTTTGAGATTCTATTCCCATTTCTAGATTGAATCAGCACGGGAACTGGTGCTTGTTCTGCGAGATGGAACCACGTGTTACATTGTGCCTCGCATCTCCTACAGTGGTAGATAACGCATCTCACAGACATTGGTTACAATTAGAAAAAGCTGGCAAGCTACTTGTACAGTGATGTACATTCAATTTGGGTTATAAAGTAGATCTCAGTAGAACTCTTCCAGAACGAAAGTAAAGACATCTGTACACATGCATCTGAACCTGGGCCATAGATAAATGACTCTTCCGGGGGAGCATTCGTCTGTGTGGGAGATAGTACCAGACTTGAACTGCGTGTCTAACCTCGGCCAGTATTTATTAGTCTGCCTCGTGATATACAATAGGAAGGATGAGGACATCCTTCATGTCTGTGGTCTCCGACATGACACCAACACATTGAGGAAGAAACACCCCCAGTGTACCCACATTTGCCGAGATTCTATTTAATAATGAACCTCGTTCCAATCCCATTGTACCAGATGATTTGTCTGGCAAAGTTTATTGCTCGGTCCGGAAATTGCTCTCAAAACGCAGAATATGTTCATTCCCCCTAGCACTGTTTAATACAATCAGTGGCAGGCATACTCGTTACTGAATTGATGTTCCTTGTATGGAGATTGCTGACCGGTAGCCTGTCCTGATAACCACCACTGCCAGTAGGTTGTATCGTGGTCATTAGTCTCCCCTTGCTGGTGTGTCTGGAAGATGTAATTGTCTCGAGGTCAAGGTCGACTTCAAGGTCACGGAGGAGTGTTCTCACGCCGCCTATGGCAATATTCAACAATTATCACTGCATTGGACACGAGTGAGTAGGTGAATTGGGTGTAACGCCTCTTTGAACAGTATTTCAGTTATATCACAGGGTGTCAGCGTAATGTTGGAGGAAAGGAACGAATGATGCAGGTCTCAGACATTTACCACTTTGTTGAAACCAACGAGCACGGGTATGGTGCTGACAAACCCAAGGAATATAATCGGGGCGAACCGGGATTCGACCCCACAATCGTAGGTTTCTGATGTGCACAAGAGACGCAACACTGCACATCGGTATGGAACACAAGAAACGAGCTGGACACGTTGTTCCCATGTGGTCGAATGTGTGTGTGTGTCCGTCGTGCGTGCGTGCGTGCGTGCGTGCGTGCGTGCGTTAAAGTTGTTCCAATCTTACAAGGATCCAATGATCCTGGCTTTGAATCCCAGATTAGCCATAATAGGGATGCTATGTTTGTCAGCATCATACCAGTGCTAGCGGGTTGACTAAAGTTGTGGACGTTAAAAGACTTGCATCACTTCGAGTTTCAATTCCGCATTAAGCTGTACTGCTGTCAAATAACCGTAATACTGTTCAGAGCGGCGTCAAACCTAACTCACTCAACCACCCACTCTGCTTGTACCTCACTCACAATAACTGTGAAGTGAGTCTTTTATTGCAAATATATATGCTTTAGATCTAGGTTGTAGCTAAAACCAACATATTGGAACTTCCAGTTTACCCCAGACCTCAAATTCGTTATCGGTTCTCTATATTTCCTCTCTGATTTAGCGGGTCTGTGCACTGCCATGAGTATTTTATGACATTACGTCTTGTCACGTGAAGATTCCATTTATCCAATCATGTGTGTAATTGTATCGTTAACCGGAATGCATATTTTATAGCGAGCACACCCACCCATGTGGCATGAGGTTCTGCAATGCCCTGATGATAATTTGCGGCGAGACAGTTCACTCTGGTTTACGATGGGTGCGGTGAAATATCCATCTCTTTTGACGAACATCTTCATTAGACTTGGTTCTGATTGCCATTGATGTAATGAGGCGATGTATTATTCTATGGGCAATGTTTGACGTTCGTGATTCTCGTTAACTGATATACCTTACCTGCCCTCGGATCGGAAATAAACATCGATCATACATGTATGGATAGGAGCGGCAACGGGTCATCCGTTTGATGGTTTACATTGGTAGATTTTTATACACTAGGCTGTGATAGAACATAAAACAAACATGATAGCAATTACATTAGGGACCACGTGAGAAGTAACTGTTGTGAAAAATACGGTTCGGATCCTGCTTTCTGAGAACGAATCTTGTGCGTCTTTAAGCAGTGACTGAAAATATATTTCTTAAAATTCCATTCTTAAAAATATACTCAATGGCTGGGTCCCCATATTATGTGGGTTTCGGTGCAGAATAGGTCCCCAGTACTAAAACTTGGCGACTGATGTAGGCAGTAGACGATCTCGAGTATGTGCCCTGGCTGATTGTGTGACTTCGTACTCGGATCATTGATCTAGCTATCATCCATTAGATGGTTAGAATCTCAACAGTTACAGTACGTAACTCATGCTTTGTAGTATACACGTGGTAAGGGGTGTGTGTGTTTCACATACGCCCCCTTTTGGACTCCATGGGGATCTAGTTTCATTACGTCATCAACATCTCGTGAAGAAGGAGAGAATACGTGATCACAGTGTAATTTAAGCCAGCTTAGATATGAAATGGGAAGTTCATTATAAATATTGCCCAAATTGTGTTTAAAGCTTAATTGGGGCTTGATCCACATGTGGTCTCCCTCTAAAGCCGTTTGAGTAAAACGCACATACAACTATGAAACTGCTTATTTTGTTAAAAGAAGCATGTACGGAGAATGATTTTTTCTGCAGGAAACGCGACGTACGCCAAGCGCGGCAACGCTAAAAACGCAACAACGACGTTGTTGTCGCCCCTGATGGAGGGACGTCTGTGCTACCTGGAATTCTTCTACCACATGGGCACCGGCGCCCTCAACACCCTCGACGTCTATATGATCAAGGACGGCAACAGAAACCTCATCTTCTCTTCAAATGGATACCAAGGCTTCGAATGGCAGAGAGCAATGCTCGACATTGAAGAATACACCGAAACAGGACGATACCAGGTGAAGACTTCAGTCAAACAATAATGAGTAGCCAAACTAAAATATCACAATAAAGTTTTCCTTAGAACATTATTTTAGTCTTTGAAATTGGTACTATATTGTGATATGACGCCATGTAGGTGTTTTATGAAATTGACTGTCACGTGTGCCGTTCTTGCAGCTGTCTTTCGAGGTTAATGAACCAGATGACAACGGCTTCCTCTCTGTCGGCTACGCCATCGACGACATCAAGGGGTTTAACTGCGGTAAGAACTCGGTTAGAAGGAATAAAGGTAGAATTGGACCCCAGCATGGGTTTGACGTAAAGGTTGCGAATTTGGTACTTTGATCACCAGGCCTACACACTCCAATCCGTTACCTGGCTGTATTGGTTATGATAGTACCTCAGCGTTGGTGGGCAGGTGTTTCTCCACTTAGTTCGAAGGAATACAGAAAGTCATCACACAAGGGTTTGCGGAGCCCATCTGTATACTTAATGCTATTAACTGATATTGAATAGGACATGTGTAGGAAATGCTTTTCCATATACCGACACGATTCTTATTTTTAGTGAATTTTTAGAAAAAAATGATTCAATTACAATTCTGTAAAATTCTTATTTATACTTCTATGAACCAACTAAACATTGCCTTACACACGGTGTGCATTTTTAAATCTATTTGCAGTCGATGTCATCCTACATTATTTGCTACATTGCTAAAAGAACCTTTATGTTGTCTTTATACAAATACTCATCATTCATTGGCCGACCATGAAAATAGAGGGGCAATCTCATTAGAATCAGATCTTAGTTCTCGCTCCCGCTAAACAAAGATCTGAGAACACCCCATTACGGGTCACGTCAGACCGACCTTGCGCGAACTTTGACCGACCAATGGAATGACTGACAAGAAGTCGATATTATCAGAAGGCAGCTTTCTCATGCTTTACGGCACTAAATTCAAATTGGCGACTACGCTTCGAAACATATTTTGACAAATTCTGAAACTTGAACAAAAGAATATTCTTGAATGGTTAATAGAATGTATGGATTCAGTCGTTAAGCCCGTAACTATCGTTACAGTTTTGGAGTTTCTAGGTTGCATGATTAGAAATCACATTCCGACATTTCTGGTGTCCCCCGCCGTGATATTGCTAAAAGAGGCGTACAACCACTCATTAAAATGGACTGTACCTGTATATAATGAAATGTGTATTAGTCAAAAGGAAAGATTACTCGTCATCTAAAGCATACATCTGCAGATTTGTCTCTGGACTGTGACTTCGAGAACGACACATGTAACTACATCATCGAGCGAGAAGGCAATTTCTTTGATCGCATGGAGTGGAGACGGGGCCAGGCTGTTCTGGAGACCATCTTCAGTGACATAAAACTCCTCAGAAACGGCCCCAGCGGCGATCACACCACTGGGAAACCAGACGGTATGTGCTTTCGTCTGTATGTACCTAATATTGGATCAGGGATTTATCATAGATTTTATACTGTGTGCCTCTGGCAGGCAATTTGGGAAAAAATAGTTATGTTCAAACTTAGGATTTGGGGGGAGCTCATTTTTTTTAATTCAGAGTTTTGCACATTTCACCATTATATTTTGAGATTGTGTTCAATGCGATAAAATAGAACTGTACTAACCGATCTTAACGCTAAGGTGGTCGAAACTCCCATTCCTTAACCTAGACTTACGACAGTCGTTGCGCTAAGGTTGTTTTGTACAATGGTACCAAGGTAACCTTAGTAGAATGAGGGCGGTCTGGTAGCCTAGTTGTTAAAGCGTTCGCTCGTCACGCTGAAGACCCGGGTTCGATTCCCGACATGGGTACAATGTGTGAAGCCCATTTCTGGTGTCCCCCGCCGTGATATTGCTGGAATATTGCTAAAAGCGGCGTAAAACCAAACTCACTCACTCACTTAGTAGAATGACGAGGGAAAGGATGGCATGTCGGGACATACGGTAACGTGAAAACAGTTCATCTATACTTAGTTATTCGAGCAGCAAATATAGTGCGATCACGTAACCCAGGTTGTTTATGCAGACTCCTTTCAACTTCTTTGCACAAAAGCAGAACAGTCACCATATTGTTTTCAGCGAACATAATAAACTCAGTAACCTTAAGGGTGGGTGGAATTAATCATGAGGCTTGTTTCTTAACTTAGGCTTCCGTACCTCATGGTGGTTTCGTGGAACAGTATCTGAATCTTAAGAAAAGTCGAAGGTTAAAATTGTATGGTTTACGTTCACCTCAGCGCTGAGGTTGTTTTGTGGAACGGGCCCTGGTCACAAGTCATAGCAGGCTATCTATTGTTTCTGCTGGCAACATATCGACTATAAACCGAACCCTGAATCCCCAACAATGATGCGTCACTGCGTCAAGGTTTCTTGAAACAACGTTCATGATACTCCGTGTGAATATACTTTGCCATACCTATACGAATCCAGATAAGCCTCCACCATAATGTGCTTTTCGTAAGAACCAACTAAATGGGTTGGATGGTCAGGCTCATTGCCTGTCATCGCGCACCCCAGGGGCGTGCATAGTTGCCCATATAAAAAACTGCTATGTCTGGTACAAACACAACCCTCGTGGTTCACCGTCCCTGTTTATTACAAGTCACGTCATGTACGCTGTGAAGGCCATCAACCCCGGTACAAACACAACCCTCGTGGTACAACCTTGATACACCGTCCCTGTTTATTACAAGTCACGTCATGTACGCTGTGAAGGCCATCAGCCCCGGTACAAAGACAACTCTCGTGGTACAACCTTGATACACCGTTCCTGTATGTTGCAGGTCACTTCATGTACGCTGTGAAGCCCATCAACTCCGGTACAAACACGACCCTCGTGGCTCCACGGCAGCGTGACCAGCTCTGCTTCATCCAGTTCTTCTACCACATGGGGTCTCACTTCCTCAACAACCTGGAGGTGTCCGTCAGGGCCGAGAATGAGACTTACATGGTCTTCAACACATCCGGTTACAAGAGTGATGGATGGGACAAGGCCCTCATCAACATCGAGGAAGAAACACGAGTGGGCAAATATGAGGTGGGTGAAACATGTGCGTTGGCAGCCATATTGGATTGGTACAGATACAGTTTTTACACGGACGTAATAACCTTTCATTTAACTTTGAATTTCACCAGAAATTTGACAGGAAAGTTTCAATTTAATAGCATTTCATGTTTGCGTTTAGATAATTATTTATGTCAAAGGCAAAGTTTAATTTTGTTTGTTTGTTTGGTGTTTAACGCCGCACTCAGCAATATTCCAGCTATATGACGGCGGTCTGTAAATAATCGAGTCTGGACTAGACAATCAAGTGATTGACATCATGAACATCGATCTACGCAATTGGGATACGATGACATGCATCAACCAAGTCGGCAAGTTGACCACCCGATCCCGTTAGTCGCCTCCTACGACAAGCATAGACGCCCTCTACAGCATGGGTTTCTGAAGACCTATTCTAACCAGGATCTTCACCAGTGTGTTAGGTTGACTTGCATGGCACTAAGATGACTTCGTGGAACACAGCCAAATTCGATAATCAAAACCACACGCTTTTTTATGGCGAATCTACTCTCTTTCTGATGGCTAGTCGGCGCTATTTATGATGGCTGATTCACTCTCATTATGATGGTCAGCAAGCGTGACCACCCGATCCCATTAGTTGCCTCTTACGGCAAGCATGGGTTGCTGACGACCCGGATCTTTACTGGTCCAATGTTAAATTATTGTACTAACTTGTACCTACCAAGCAACCTTAACGCTAAACAGCTACACTTGGTATACAGGCAATCTTCAACTTCTACATACCTTGTATTTGTTGATTGTTTGTGTTCTCATTACTTTCTCTACTTGTAATTTTAAGGATGAAATTCGAGTCTAATACATTTCATATTTACTTTTTATAAAGTATAGGAAGTTAATATCTCATAACCACGCAATGAATCGTGTAGTTGTAATGAAATTGAAGACCTGGTAGTCTGAACTTGACGTTTCTACCCACAGGGTGTCTATAAAACTATTCCAATAGAATTTAATCAACGAGAAGTTGACGTAGTGCTTTCGCCTGAAGCATGTTTGTACCCAAACAAATGTAGAATATGTTGAATAACACTTTCTCTTGGGCAGATTGCCATCTTCGTGGATGAACCAGATGATATGTTTTGGTCCGTGGGTTACGCCATCGATGACATCACAGCATCTCCATGCCGTATGTATTTACTGATGAACTCTTAACACGCTACTAGGACGTTCTCGAGTGATTGAGTTGCGTTTAGCGCCGCCGCCGCTTTTAACAGAGTTCCAGTCATATCACGGCGTGTCAACTTAATCCCGAACTGATGCAGGTCTCGTTTACCAGTTTGATGAAAGCCACGAGCAGCCGATATGGTGCTGACAAACATAGAAACATAATCGAGGCGAACCAGGATTCGAACCCACAATCAAAGGTTTCTGGTGTGACCAAGGGACGCTACTCGCATAGCAAATTGTGGCCCCCCTCCCCCCCCCCCCCCCCCCCCCCACATACATACACCACACTCCCCCTTACTTTACCCAAATTAATGCATCTCACCTTATCAAATATAAAATGAGAAATATATAAGAACAGTTCTGTACAAACATCAGTCTTTCTGTATCAGTGTAGAGTAAGAAACAACATATCGCCACCCTAAAAAAACCTCGAATAAATATTGTAAAGCAGTATCACAATTAAACTGGACCATTGTGGTTGTGACCCATCTCATCTAATTCACCGCAAGAGTTGTGTCCCTTGGGCACGCCAGGAGTCTATGATCGTGGAATCGAATCCCAGATTCGCCCCGATTATTTGGTTGGTCAGCTCGTGGGTTTCACCAAAGTGATAAATGTATTAGACATACACCACGTTAGGCTTTCCTCCCACATTAAATTAACATGACATGATATAACTGAATACTGACCAAAGCAGCCTCCCTCCCTCCCTCCCTCCCTCACTCACTCACTCACTCACTATTATGGTGATGCTGCCTGATGAACGTTTTTGAAATCGGCCCCCTAGACTATATTACATGTCGTAATTAACTTGGATAGTATTGCGTGTTAGCCTACCCCAACGACGTATGATGTTGCATATAATATCACCTGGTTGGTCTGGTCCAGGCCGTGAAGATCCGTGTAGAGCAGCAACACATGCTTGTCGTAAGAGGTGACTAACGGGATCAGTTGTCAGGCTAGCTGAATTGGCTGGTCATGTCATCAGGTTGGTGATGTCATCGTATCCCAATTGCGTGGATCGATGCTCATGTTGTCCATCACTGGATTGTCTGGTCCAGACTCGATTGTTTACAGGCCGTCGTGATATAGCTGAACTCATTGGTTTTACGCCGCTTTTAGCAATAGTCGAGTAATATCACGGCAGGGAACACCAGAAATGGGCTTCACACATTATACCCATGTCGGGAATCGAACCCGGGTCTTCAGCGTGACGAGCGAATGCATTAACCATTTGGCTACCCCGCCGCTCCTAAAACAACAAACAAGCATCGTGTTGTGTGGTGTTTTGAATAAACACCCTCTTAGAAACACATTACAGCTTCAACTGTTTTTGATAACCTGTCGAAACCTCAGTATTATAATTCTAGCAGTTACAACATTGCAGGCGTTAATTGGAAACTGATTACTTGTTTTGCTTGCCTTGCAGTGTGCGCCAATAGCCCATGCATGAACAACGCCACCTGCACCAACGAATACTACAGCTACACCTGCACCTGCCCCTATCTGTACTCAGGGAGGCACTGTGAGACAAGACTCACGCCCTGTGATTACTCCCCATGTGCACATGGCAGCGCTTGTGATAATCAACCTGGAGATAATTACAGGTAACCTATAATCTGACTTGTGATAATCAACCTGGAGTGATAATCAACCTGGAATAATATTCAGCTAACTTAAAATCTGACAATCAACCTGGAGTTATATACAGGTAAGTTATAATCTGATTTCCGATAATCAGCCTGGAGTGATAATCAACCTGGAGTAATATACAGGTAACTTATCATCTGACTTGTGATAATCAACCTGGAGTGATAATCAACCTGGAGTAATATACAGGTAACCTATAATCTGACTTGTGATAATCAGCACAGGGATAAATATATGTCTCAAACTGGCGATTATCAACCTGGCGGTACATACAGGTGTGCTACATGTACTTGTCATAATAATCTGGTGATTACGAATCAAACTAATATCATAATCCTGATTAAATATTGTTAATACATTGGAAATGAATTTTTTGAAAATAATTGGTCCAATGCTGAGAGAGACCTTGTGCTTGGCAACGGAATTGAAAGTATTACCGCTTATATTTCCTCAGGTTAAGTAGCAGTGTTCATATTAGTTGCTCTGGTGATGTTTGCTATGAACTCAATGTTTACATAGGACAACCTGAAATTCATTTTGTGTGAAGCCCATTTCTCGTGTCTCCCCAGTGTGATATTGCTGGAATATTGCTAAAAGCAGTGTCCTCAAACTGTCTGCAGGTTTAACCACAATCTTAACCTATATGTGATAAGGCAGGGCTGGGCTTAATAATTTGGTTAATTTTGTCCTGAATTATGCTTTTCAAACTTCCTTCATTTCTTTTTACCTTTAGTCTTTAATCCTTTTCTATGAAACTTATGAACACATGATATAAGAATACTGATGGGCATTTGACTTCAGTCTCACCTATAGTCTACTTATGAATAATTTCCTTGTTACTTTCAGCCACTGGGCGATGGGGTAGCCTAGTGGATAAAACGTTCGATCGTCACACCATCCGGGTTCGATTCCCCACATGGGAACAATGTGTGAAGCCCATTTCTGGTGTCCCCCGTCGTGATATTGCTGGAATATTGCTAAAAGCGGCGGTAAACCATACTCACTCACCTACTCTCTCTCTCTCTACTTGCAGCTACAATTCTAAGGCTCTTTGTTTTGATCATTGTTTGTTTCATATTCTTAGGTGTAATTGCACTGAGGGCTGGATGGGAAATGATTGCGAGGTAGAGGTTGATGAGTGCGAGAGCAACCCCTGCATGAACGGCGCCAATTGCACCGACTTGTTCAACGGCTATGAATGCGTATGCGAGCCAGGATGGTACGGTACCCATTGCGAAATAAACATCAACGAATGCCTCTCCCAGCCCTGCCAGAATGGAGCAACTTGCATTGATGAGGTATGTATCTCGAAAATATTTAATGCTGTGAAAATGACGGGTACATCTCATTTTCAGTGGGCACAATAGTGAAGATTACGACGGTGCGGATTTTAAACGAAACTGGAAAAGAGTGTTCCTGCCTAGTCTTCCTCTACCATAAAACATATTACAGATAATGGCAAAGCTAATAAAATCGGATCAGATGCATACAGAACAAATATTCAAGATTTTGTATTGCTTCATTTGCACATACTTTCCATCACATCATATGGAAAAGAGGATTCAGGTGTATCCTACAGACGCAGAATGACCCTCAATTTTTAGACTGATGTCTTTCAACACATTGAAGGGCAACGTAGTCCAATCTTTCAACGTTCCAACATTTTTAACTAGTCCACTCTATATGATGGGTAGTCCTCTCTCTGTTAATGGCTAGTCTACTCTCTCTAAGATGGCTAGTCCACTCTATATGGTTGCTGATCCACTCTCTGTGATGGCTAGTCCACTCTCTCTAAGATGGCTAGTCCACTCTCTGTGACGGCTGTGATGGCTAGTCCACTCTCTCTAAGATGGCTAGTCCACTCTCTGTGACGGCTAGTCCATTCTCTATGATGACTAGTCCACTCTCTCTAAGATGGCTAGTCCGCTCTCTTTAAGATGGCTAGTCCACTTTCTGTGACGGGTGTGATGGCTAGTCCACTCTCTCTAAGATGGCTAGTCCACTCTCAGTGACGGCTAGTCCATTCTCTATGATGACTAGTCCACTCTCTCTAAGATGGCTAGTCCACTCTCTTTAAGATGGCTTGTCCACTCTATATGGTTGCTGATCCACTCTCTGTGATTGCTAGTCCACTCTCTCTAAGATGGCTAGTCCACTCTCTGTGACGGCTGTGATGGCTAGTCCACTCTCTCTAAGATGGCTAGTCCACTCTCTGTGACGGCTAGTCCATTCTCTATGACGACTAGTCCACTCTCTCTAAGATGGCTAGTCCGCTCTCTTTAAGATGGCTAGTCCACTCTCTTAAAGATGGCTAGTCCGCTCTCTATGATGACTAGTCCACTCTCTGTGATGGCTAGTCCATTCTCTGTGATGGCTAGTCCACTCTCTTTAAGATGACTAGTCCACTCTCTGTGATGGCTAGTCCACTCTTCGAGGCCTGTCCACTCTCTGATGGCTAGTCCACTCTCTCTGAGATGGCTAGTCCACTCTCTATGATGTCTAGTCCACTCTCTGTGATGGCTAGTCCACTCTCTCTAAGATGGCTAGTCCACTCTCTGTGACGGCTAGTCCACTCTACGAGGCTAGTCCACTCTATGTGATGTCTAGTCCGCTCTCTCTAAGATTGCTGGTCAACTCTCTCTTAGTCGGCTAGTCCACTCTATATGGTTGCTGATCCAGTGTTTTATTCATGTCAGTGGCACCCTTTATAACCAGCGTTAATTCGCTCTCTTTTGTGCGCATTAACAAGTGTTGAGTATTCAAGCAGCAATGTCAGATAGACTAAAGTGGACACTGGCGGCAATCTCTTTAAATTCGGACATTTTACTCCGATACGATACTCTCTGCGGGAAGGTCTGAGGACACCTCGCGTCAGGTTAACTTTTGATCAGCCAATTAACGTCGAGGTTTCTAAATCTCGGTACGAGTGCGCGAACCATTCGAACAAGCACTTCTGACTTCGACAACTCGAAAACGAATGTACAACATGAAGCCGCACAAGGGAATGTGGCTATCTGATACATCCATGGTATCTGCACGCAAGGGGGGCTACTGCCCATGGTATATCTGTGTTCGGTGATGGTTTCATTTGCTGACATCGACATTGCCCTAACGAGGTGGAAGAGAAATGAAGCCGGTTCGTGTTTGAAAGCTGATAATTGATGCGACCTTTTATGGGTGTGTCGTTCGATCTTGGCACCGAGCGGTGGCGTATCGGAATAAATTGGGGCGGGTGTACATGGACATTATTAGAGGAATAACGACAGGAAATAACTACGATCAGCGGAGACTCTTAGATTGTTTGTTATCGTGCTTAGATGGCATTGGCCATTGGCCTTTGCCCACACTATGTACCTCTGCTACAGCTCGACGAGTTTTCTGGCTATTGTGATATACCCATATACCTACGACTATATGGCACAAGCAAGGCCACTGACTGTTCTTTGCTTTCATCTCCCCTAGGTAAACTTCTACCAGTGCGAGTGCGTTCCTGGCTACTGGGGTGTATATTGTCAGTTCGACATCCAGGAGTGCGATTCCAATCCCTGCCTGAATGGAGCGACGTGTGTGGACGACATCAACTTCTACTCGTGCAAGTGTCCACCAGGCTACAGCGGCGACCACTGTGAGATCAACATCGACGAGTGCGCCAGCAATCCCTGTCTCAATGATGGCATGTGTTATGACCGTGTGAACAGATTCGACTGCTACTGCAAGCCAGGCTACACCGGTAAACAATACGATCTAACATTAATAATGAGTTATTTTCTTTATGTGGCAATCTTAGAAGCTGTTGTATCAATGGGCCGATGTGTAGATTTCTACTTCTATATTCTCTCAATGCAACGTTTTGAATAGTTGCTAGTACCTTCGGTGGTCACCAACTGTGTAGGACAGGGGTTATATTGATATGGAAATAGCTGAGACTACTTTACAGGAGATTAATAAACACAACATACACACAAGGGTGACAAAGTGTTGCTTGGGCTTGGGTACAATAACATGAAAACATTATTCAATTTGCCAACTCCTTTCTTACAATATACATATTTTTAAAATAAAAAGAACAGGTTATTCGTTTTTGATTGCATGGTATTTATTACAGGATCCTCTTGCGCTCGAAACGTCAACGAGTGTTGGTCGTCTCCCTGCCTGAACGGGGCCTCCTGCGTGGACATGGTGAATGACTATCAGTGCTCGTGTGCTCCAGGATATACAGGTACAGGGTTGAAATGTCTCTCTTCCTGTGGATTTGTTGATATAAAATGTTGTCACGTTTGTTTTAATGTATAAGGGAAAAGAGCGACGGTTTTACATCTACAGTGTACAGTTTAGGGATGGGACGAGTCCCACCGACCCGAGTACCAGAGTTACCCGTCCCAGCACTAGTACAGTTCCATGTACAGTCCGTGTACACCTCTTCTTACGACAGCTTACTGCTCGTACCTTAAATGTATATTCGCCTTTCATTACTTAGTCTTTTATTCAGACCAATTTAGCTTCTGCCTTATAGACGAACTAAACTAACCATTGCAAATATAATATATACTGTGATTGATAACTGAGCTGTCAATACGTTTTTTCTGTGTCCACCCTGACAAGTTTCCTATTCGTTATAAGCTGCATCTTGACTTTTGTCATATTTACCAAAAACAATTCCGAACTACTTTCATAGCTTATTGAACTTGTTCTCTGAGTTGAATAAATGCAATATTGATCCGTTACCATGTGATCTGTGACATGGAATTCTGAGCTACAACTTAGCAAATCAACATCGTCTTAGCCTGTTGAAGAGATTGTCGTCTTTACTTAGATAATCCGAAACCATTTATGTCAATATCCCATGTCAGTCGGAATGGGATTATATTCGAGGTCGAAGATAAAAGGCACCAAACCCTTTAATGTCATAGGGAGGGCACAATGTGTCAGTAGGTCAGGTTTTCTAAGTGACAGATATATTATATTATTGGTTATACTTTGGTTAATATGTGTTTATTATAGGCGATTAATGTTTTGAGTCTCAGAAGCAGGTTAAAAAAATCAGATAGTTACAATATTTAAAACCCCTTTAATCAATAAAACCACAGGTACTATTTGTTTTCTTTGAGCGAAATATCTATTTGGAAATATATTGAATCAATTTCAGAAACAGATAGTCTATAAGGCCGCTGTCGCAATAATTTCGGACTCCTTTAACATACTTTGAACTAGTGTGCTTAGTTGTCAAAAACAATATATATTCTACATGACAGTTATTTAGGTTAAATGTATATGAGTTGACCCAATTACAGTCATACTGTCTGATTCTGGGGCAGAATACATGTAGATTCCCGGGACCTCATGCTTGTCTTCCCCTGGAGACCCCGATGTCATGCCTCACGCTTGTCTTCCCATGGAGACCCCGATGTCATGCCTAACGCTTGTCTTCCCATGGAGACCCCGATGTCATGCCTCACGCTTGTCTTCCCATGGAGACCCCGATGTCATGCCTAACGCTTGTCTTCCCATGAAGATCCCAATGTTGTACCTCATGCTTGTATTCCCATGGAGACCCCGATGTCATGCCTAACGCTTGTCTTCCCATGGAGACCCCGATGTCATGCCTAACGCTTGTCTTCCCATGAAGATCCCTATGTTGTACCTCATGCCTGTCTTCCCCTGGAGACCCCGATGTCATGCCTCACGCTTGTCTTCCCATGGAGACCCCGTTGTCATGCCTCACGCTTGTCTTCCCATGGAGACCCCGATGTCATGCCTAACGCTTGTCTTCCCATGGATACCCCGATGTCATGCCTCATGCTTGTCTTCCCATGATGATCCCAATGTTGTACCCCATGCTCGTCTTCCCATGGAGACCCCGATGTTGTATGTCATGTTTGTCTTCTTGTGATCACAGTGCATTACGTCTAAGATTGTGTCGGCACAATATATGATGACCTGGCTAATTGTGTCTCATCATGCCCTATTCAGGGAAGTTGCTATTTACGGAGACCATAAAATAGATCTCTGCTGTTACTAATGTTATCATCCACTGGTTGGTCCGGTCCAGATGTGAGAATGGGTTGGAATCTGTCGCATCGGCAGACAAGTTACAGACCGCCATGATACAGATGTAATGTAGTTTTAATTGTAAAACAAAGTTCGCTCACTCAGTCCAACATGTTCATCTGCAACCTACTTACATGTATATTGATCTGTTTCAGGAACCCACTGTGAGACTGACATCGATGAGTGTGCGAGCGCCCCCTGCAGGAACGGCGGAACTTGTCACAACGAGGCCGGGAAGTTTAAATGTGACTGTCCAATCACCTGGGCCGGCGAACAATGCGAAAAAGCTCTTGGAGATTGCGGCACTGACCCTTGCTAAACTAAGATCATTGTACGTCATTTCACGGTTTATCTTTAAATACTAAATAATAAACACATTTTACTGGTTCTGGTTAGTTCATTTATTTACAGGAACAGTGAGGTGGCCAAGTTAAAGCGCTCGCTCGTTATGTGGAAGCCCCGGGTTCGATTCCCCACATGTGTAAAAAGTGTGAAATCCATGTCTGGTGTACCCTGCTGTGATATTGCAGAAATATTCTAAAAGCTGAACAAAACCTAACTCTCTCATTTATTTACAAAAACCTCATATGCAAGAGCACTGTTAAAATATTAGTACTTTCATACTTTAAAATTTACACTGTTTCTGTCATGTTGATTGGCCGAATGGGTGGTCACGTGATCACACGAGCGACTAATAGGATCGGGTGGTCAGGGTCGCTGACTTGGTTGATGCATTTAATCGTATCCCAATTGCGAGAATCGATGCTCATGATGTCAATCACTGGATTGTCTGGTCCAGATTCGATTATATGCAAACCGCTGGAATATAGATAGCTGGAATACTGCTGAGTGCGGCGTTAAACAACAAACAAATCACAGAGCGCTTTTAAATCGTCCACACTTTATCCAATTCAAACCATCTTCCCGAGGCAAGAGCGTCCACTGGCCTATTTATCAAAGTCTAGTTTCCTTGGCTTTGATTCTGGATACGCTTGCCTCGGTGAAGATAATAGAAAAACGTTCTAAACAACCACATAGGTATTGGATGCCGATCTAAGGCCATGCAATTCGCTTTACAGAGTTGCTGAATCCTTGTATGGTCATGTGTTTCCCCATTTCAGTTCGCCAGAATTATGATCTTTGGTTTGTCTGGACCCCACTCCTGTGTCCCCCATAATGGTAAACGTCTAGTACCTGCATCACTTTGTCCTTTTCCCTCAAATTAAGCTTACACTGTGTGATATCACACTGTAAACTGTAAAAAAACTGAAACGTAATGTGAGTGAGTTAGGTAAAAGTCGCATCGGCATTATTTCAGCCATGTAGCGACGAGGAAACGTAATGTGGACTACAGTACAACCATTTTGACAAGTGGTGTTAAAAATACACTCCAGAAAACGTTCAACTACCACCCAACATGAAGCAGTTGATGTGTGAACGATGCATTATGTAAGGTTTAATTAGGAAACGGCATTTGGAAGTATACGTTAAACGCAGGAATTGATCTGCACTCATGGTGGTATGGCCTTTTGCTTGCACTGAAAGAATACTTATTTCTTCCATTTTAACTTATATTAGCATCTAAGACCTGTTTACTTGCAATTATGACACAAAGAGAAACTAATTAAACAGAATTATAGTACTATTTGCGTGGTATGGATGGGCATTTCAAAGCCTTGTTCTTTTTTAAAACTACTGCTAGTAATGAGGTGAGGTGAGGTGAGGTGAAAGGATGTTTAACGCCGATTTTATAGTGCTAGCCCACTGAAATACCGCTGTTTAATTGTTTTAAAGATATCTTGAATTGAATTGAAGATATCGTGAATGGAATTGAAGATATCTTAAATACTTATAATTGTAGATATCTGCAATAAAATTTAAGATATCGCGAAATGAATCGATGATACGGTGAAGCTTATTGCTGATATCTTGAAAAGAATTGCTGATATCTTAAATTCGATTAAAGATATAAAATGATGAAAAGATATCAAAATGTCATGTTTTGCTATATCAGTAATTCAATGCCTGATATCGTGAAACTAAATACAGATATCAATAAATAATTATTGATATCTTCAATTGTTGCCATTATTTAAGACTTCCGCTTATTTATAAATATCTTCAAATACTTCCGTCTGTTAAGTAGTGTGGGTAATGTTTTTAACCATGGCGTAATATTTCTTCTCGCTGGGAGAGCATGTTTTCAAATTGATCACTGCTGTGATAGTCAGTCCCCTCAACTCCTCCGCGAATTGTTTGGCGTGCTGTTGAAACTAGTTCCTGCACAAGTTGGGTCGCCATTTTGGAACCTGAAGAATTTATGAATATGTAGCCAGACCGGAAGTATTTGAAGATATCTTTGAATCATACCCAGTACTTTTTTGGACAGGAATAATTCTTTTGCCGTTTCTTCGTGTTACTTAAATTATATTACAGATATCAACAATTGATATAAAGATATCTTCACAATTAATAATATGTTTATTTGATGATAATTAATGATATCTTGAAATGAATTAAAGATATCTAAAACGAATTACAGTTATCTGTAATGCATTTGTGGATATGTATAACTTATTTCAAGATACCTTGAACTTATTTCTAATATGATTACGTACAATAGAATGATAGTTGTTTAATGATATCTTAATTACATTTAGAGCTATCACGAAATATTTTATTGATATCATAGTAACATTTTAAGATATCAGTAATCGTATTTATCAATATCATAAATGAATTCAAGATGTCTTTAACTATTTTTTGAAATCTTAAAAACATTATTGATTTCTTTAAAGAGAATACCGATATCTTTAAAACAATTGAAGATCTGTAAAGGTACCTTTTTAGGCTAACCACAGTGGCATTTTAGGATAGGCTAGATTAGGTAAGTAAGAAAAACGTACAACCTTATGGATAACAACTTCTGGTTTATTGCATATAGCGACGTTTCGCTATAGATTCTTACACCGTTATCAAGCTGGAGTGACAACAACCATGTGATGAGAGGTATATATGCATGACATGTTGGGATAAACAGCAGATTAACATGGACAACAACGGTAACAGGTAACACGCAGATAATTGGATGAAGCCAAATGTACAGTAGGGATACAGTGATTTACATTATTTTGATATACGGTATTTTCATAGTCCTATGATTCGTATTTAATAAATGAAGCCAGAAAAGCAGTTTTCAAGCATTCCCGACAGTACTGCCCCAAGCATTGTTTTCACCTTTACACACTTGGGGAATATGCGACTACCAGTCAGGCATAGCCTTTGTTGGACTTTGTTGGACTTTCCTTCACTATAAAACAACATCTACTCAAAATAAGTTGAAGAACGCGCGATGAGAGAGAGGGAGAGAGAGAGAGAGATTCTTTATTTCCTCCAGAAGTTAATCCGAAGATTATACATAATAAATCAAACGTATTCACACAAACTCATATTACCTGTACATATATACAATAAAAGACAGTAGCTACAGTGTCATGCCATTCACACAGTACAAAAGGTTAGATCAGATGACATAATCAAGGTAAGGCTTTAGTGTAAGTACATAAGCAGAAAATATCAGTATAACTGATTCCAATGTAACTATATCAATACATTGTGAGAAGTGAGTATCAGCATCAAAGAAAAATGAAAACATAGCTTCTTATGACTATAGTTAATCGGTCGTGGCTGGTGGGTATTGCAACACAGCCTTCCAGTTTTGGATGTTCTTGTTTTGAGCACTATATAAATGGGATCTACAGAGTTCTAAACTACGATTCGCCCTGATTATGTTTCTTGGTTTGTCAGAACAATGTCATCCTAGTAGTTAATACGTACTCCCCGCATTACCTCCTGTTTTCGTCTTATATCAAGCTGACTCGCCGTGGGGTACTGACTGTTCAAAGCGGCGTTAAGCCACACTCAACCCGTGAATTGGTCTTCAGCAACCCATGCTTATACCATCGTAAGGGGCGACTAACGGGATCGGGTGGTCAGGCTCGCTGACTTTGTTGATGCATGGGATCGGTCCCAAATGCGTGGATCGATGCTCATGATATTAATCACTGGATGTCCAGACTCGATTATTTACAGACCACCGTCATATAGCTGGAATATTGCTGAGTGCGGCGTTGAACAACAAACCAACATATCTTGATTTAACTGATCGTCGTACATATCAGCCCCGCTAGTCACTTGATAATTCCAAATTGAGTTTCTGCATTACATTTAGACAAGACCCGTGAAGATCCGGTTTAGAAAAGGTCTTCAGCAACCCATCCTTGCCGTAAAAGGCGACTATGCTTGTCGTAAGAGGTGACTAACGGGATAGGGTGGTCAGGCTCGCTGACTTGGTTGATGCATGTTATCGTATCCTAATTGCGTGGATCGATGCTCATGATATCAATTACTGGATTGTCAGGTCTAGACTCGACTATTTACAGATCGCTGGACCTACCGTCATATAGCAGGAATATTGCTGAGTGCGGCGTTAAAAAATAAACTAACAAACAAAAATAATAGTTCCACGAGAGCCCCCTGGACTCGCTGTTTGGTCACAAGCTTAAGTTACGGCGCCTCAGCCCTCTTTCATACACTAAAGCTTCTCGACTGTGTTGTCGTAGATTGGTCTATAGTATACAGGTACCTTCGTTAAACAACCTAGTACGTTTGCCTTAACTAAATAAGAGAAATTCCCATTACTTGCTCATATGGTTAAACTTAGAGGTGAAGACAAAAGTCGTATGTACATAGGGATTATTTGAACTGGTTTCTGGTTTATAATGACATTGCCTGTTTGTTTCTTGCAGTAAAGAATCACAGCTCACGCAGCTGAGTATTACTGTACGTCTTTTAAAATGTACGTTCGCTGTCCCCAGTTCTTATCAACAGTTTATGAACTTGTTTCAAAGCCTAATGTACCTGCTATTTTCCCCCGTTTCGTTTCAGCAATACGCACTCCAACCTTATCGATTTTGTACTATTCCATGACCCGTTTCCCAAAATGTCAGCACTGACATGGTCGCCTGTAGCATCTGAAGTAATAAAAAGACTTCTAAGGCTCGTTTGACCTTTTTTCTGGCCATATCCCCAGAGGCCATTGCATGCATCTGCACTGGTGGAATCCCACTGAGAGATAATTATCATTACTACTGTTACTAGTGCTTCATTTGTGATTTAGTCCCGTGAAGATTCCGGGTTAGAATTGGTCTTCAGCAACCCATTCTTGTCGTATGAGGCGACTAACGGGATCGGGTCGCTATTGATCGATGCTCATGATGTCAATCACTGGATTGTTTGGTCCAGACTAGGTTATTTACAGACCGCCATCATAAAGCTGGAGTATCGCTGAGTGCGGGGTTGAACAACAAACAAACAAACATTTGTGAT